CGGAGCCCCAAGCCAGGCAAGAAGCTACGAGTGGGTTGCCTGGTCGAGAAATTGCCAGATATTACTTGAATACGAGTCCCTGAATTGTGGTGATCGGGGGACAAAGTTTCTGTCCGCACAACGTTCAAAACAGCCAGTTTTGGTGAAAAACGACATGACGAGGGTTTCTCACCCACCCTTTACCCGCTCGTCTTAGCCCCCGCGATCTCTTCTTATTCGTAAGAAAACCCTAAAGAGAAGGTGTTTTCAGTAAGTAGAAGAGGCAAAGAAAAAACAATTTGGGACAGTTCACAGCATTAGAACAGAAGAATATAAAAAATGCTTGAAACAGTGGGAAACCCGTTGGGCCAAGAGTGTATCATCCAATGAACCCTATTCTGAAAGGGATTAATGTTTGAAGAATATGTTCTTTGGGCTAAAAAGTAACTTAAATGAGTGAATTTTCGAGTTTGGCGCCCCAACTCGTCTTCGGACTAACAGGAGAAGTGCAATGAACAACTAAAATTTCAAAACTGCCGAAAAAATCAATAGTCATATAGGGTGTGACGTGATTGGTGGATGTGGCCTCAGTAAGGGTCTGTCGTGCGGCCTCTGTTGGGGCGACGAACTCGAAAATGCACTCATTTAGGTTGCTTTTTTCCCAAAGAACATCCTCTTCAAGTTAAAATTCCTTGGGATGCGTGTGTCCCAGTTTATACGAAGGGATTAATGTCTTTAAGACAGTATCTTCAATTTCCAAAGAAGCGTAGATAATTACTTTTTGTTTTACTGAGCCTATAGCGACCCCGCGCTTACGAACACTTGACCTCTCACGGTGGCTAACAGGTGCACACGCACCTGTGCCTGCCTACCCCAATGCAGTCTGGCCAATCACCTCGTTGCAGCTGTAGACGCTGTGATGACTCCCGCGTTCCCACGCTTCCGGCGCTGCCTCCCCTCCCTCCGACTCTCAACTTCCTCCAATATTTTCTCCAATACGTCTCTACAGACTATAAAATTCCTTTCACTTGGCATCTCACTTCTTTGCTTCCCGCGCGGTGACCGGGCATAAAAAGATGACAGCGGCAAGAGTTTTGCCTATTAAGCCCTTGCGATATGCCCTACTCGTAGATATGTTGCATTCCCGGGCTTCCTAAAATTGAAATGCGGTGCCTCCTACCTGGCCGATTTAGTTAAATTATTTCCTCTGTGACCTAAAAACATGGGTTGATGCTTGTTCACGAAAGATTAGCCTTTCCTAGTGGCGGGTAATAAGGTTATGCAGGCAAAACGTGCGATCGATCGCTCAGTGTTCAATGCGGTTTCTGGTCGTTTTACTGGCGCTTGGGCGAAAGAAATTTCCGCTTATCTGAGAGTTTTTTGTCTCTGTGTGCGATTGGAGAAAACGGTTATAAGTGCCCTTTCGTAAAGCACAAAGTTATGGTCTAATCGGTTTCGGCTTAACTTCGCTCTCGACTGTCCGAAACCCGGCCGTCCGTGCTAAGTGTTTGTGTGTATGCATGTAAACACGCAGGGATATGACTGACATGACAACTGTTGTTCTTGTGCAATCTCACTGCGGACATCACGCGATCGCCGCAAACCCGGCCGCACCTCGGCCGGACTGCAAACTCAGGACCGGGTCGCCGCGAATGTGTTTGGCCAACAGTGGTACAGAAGCTGCCTGTTGCTCCCTGTCATAAAATACTTTTTATCCTGCAAACTGTATTATCTCCATCCTCTTTGTGCTTGTTGCTTTCAAATCCAGCACATCACAGCAACAGCGGCGACGGCGGCGATAGACATCTGTCCATGAAAAGAATTCGGCTAAAAGGGGCTTCCTGGAGTGTTCAGGACCGTAAAATCAGGCCATATCATACAACTTTGTTGAGAAATCCCTGGTTAAAGTGAGCCTGGCGGATTCTGGATCATAATTTCTGGGCAGTCAGTGCACTGGACAAAACTGTTGAAGTCCATAAGAGGTATTTTCAGACTACTCGTGAGAAAATTAAAGCTCTCGGGCGGGGCTCCATAGCTCAGTTGGTAGACTGCACCGTAATCTTACCGTCCCCGCTGGGGAGGTGTTTGAATCGCGCTGGTGCCGTGGAGTTTTGTCGATAGAAGTTTACCTTCAATTACCGGAATCATAATCATATTCGTCTGAGCTTTTGGCTCTTACTGGGGTCCACTGTCAGAGATAAAAGCATAAGTGAGCAGTCGGATATAGTGTATCTCATACTCTGTCTAAACTGTCCGCAAAATTACACAGGAAAGACTGGACGCATGCATGGTTCGCGCATACACGAACATAAGCTGGCTGTCAGACGGGGTGACATCTTGACACACGTGGCTGCCCACACCTACGACACCCGTCAGGAGTTTAACTTCGCGGCTGTGAGGATAAAGGACCACGCCAGCAACAAGACAGGCCGCGAATTGATTGAAGCCTGGGCCTCAGATGAAAACTCAGTCAATCGATTTATCGATTTGGCGCCGGCATACATAGCCCTGCACGTGCATCTCCGGACTGACTGCACTGCTGGCCGATTGGCCCCTGCCCCCTTTAACTGTTGCCTGTTTTTAGTTGACGCCTTTATCTCTGACGATGGACTCCACTAAGAGCCCGAAAGCTCACACGAATAAAAAAATTATGATTCCGTTGATCGAAAAGCCTGCTCCTTCTCTATCTATGCACATAGCTGGGAGGCTAACATTTGCCTCAATTCGTGAGAAGATAACTTGCCGATACAAGTGAAAATCCGAGTCCCGGGAAATAATTAAAAAGAAGTATATGCGATCGCTGGGACAAGATACACTTATGTCGCCTGACGTTTTGGATTACGTTGCAAATCCGACATCAGAAGAAATAGCAGAAATGGGTTCCTCGTACACAGAGAGTTTCAGTATTTATAGGATGCAGTCGCTATGCTAATACGACAAGTAATTTCTCTCCCCACGTTATCGAGGGTGTCTGCCTGCTTGTGCACAAATCGCTCAATGGCCGGCGTGAGGTTCGTGACCTGTTGAAATCTCGCCACTTTTGCTGGATATTGACCTGATGACTGCTCAGCAATCTGGCTCACCTGTACTGGCATTGAAATGCATTTTGGCCTTGGCATTCCCGAATGAAGAATTTATTTGGCCTAACTGTGTCTTAGCTCCAAATATTGACTGGGTAGGTCATTGCACTTGTTTATAGCCTACAGACCCGTGAAATATGAGTCAAGCAACTCGAGGCTCACGCGATTGTCATATCTCCCGAGACTTTCGTCTCCAGTGAATTCAGGTGTGTCGCCGTGTCTTGAGAATTGGCGTCATTCCTCTTTACTACTGGCGCGTTGTTGAGAATTTCCATCCGGAGAACTCTTCCTGGTTCTCTGACGAAGCTGCTGTGGCCGCAACTGCACCAGATCGATAGATGACTACACATGTTTCCTGCCATGGTAGTGGGTGTTTTTGCTTCATTACATGAGGCCTAGTGGTTGCCCCTGACCTATGTGCGTCTCCAACTCCAAGGGGTGTGAGAAGATGGTTGACTGCCTTCGAGAAGTTTTTTACGTACGGAATCGCCTTTGGAAATTCGGAGTCGATACAATTTTGTTGATCGTCTGCACATGCACCGACTGAAACATTTCACACCAGTGGAAGATATTGTAGTTCGGCAAGCTTGTCTTCCGTTTCAACAAGCCGATATAGCGTCAGTACGCAACTGCGTTTGTGGCTGACTGGGTGGTTGCTGTTGAAGTTCAGTATTTGCATCCTATTTGTCGCTTTTCTGAAGACTTTGGTTTCTGGCCACCACAGTGTCTGTTGTAAACGAGAACATCAAGGAAGGCCAACTGGTTGTTTGTCTTCTCTTCCATCGTATATTGCATGTCCAGGAAGACGCTGTTGAGACGCTTTATTAACGTGAGCACCGTGAAGCCTTCAGTGGATTAAAAAGCTACCCAAAATGCCAAAAGCTCGAACCCGGGAATCCAGGGAGTTGGAGAGTCACTTCCCCGCTAAGCCACGACCTTGATCTTCATCACATATAGTTGGGAATGGCGGCCACCAATTTATCCTGACAGCATGGCTTAGTGTGCTCAGGCGAGTCTGCGTTCAAACTGGTTACTACAAAGAAGCCAGAAATGGTCACCCGACAAGATGGCGAGTCCGTGGCGTAGTGGGTTAGGGCGTTGGACTCCCACCAAGAGGTCGTGGATTCGAGCCCTGGGTAGGGCGACACATAGACTAATAGCCGCTGGCAGAACGAAAAGAGTGAGTTCCGTTAGCGATCGGTTAATGTTAATCAAAGAGTATCAATATCTCCCGATCCAGACCGAAAAGACAACGAACCCGTAGCTCAACGGTTAGAGCTTTGGACTTCTAATCAGCAGGCCACGCGTTCGAACCTCGGGTGGTACACCACTTGGCGCCGGTTCCGACTGGTTGATGAGGGTAAATGATCCAGAAATTGGCGTTCCAGTCTTTGGCAACGACGCTATCTGCCTAAAACAGCTCATTTCCGTCCTACAGCTAGGACAGATCGGCGGATACCACTCCCAAGGAAGGCCTATCGGGAAGAAAAGGCGACGCCCCTAGGTCTCCTGAGAGGGGACCAAAGACGGTTGGCGACAGTAGACGATTTCAACATCCACACTCACGGTTTAGGTAGAGCTGTCCCGTAAACCCCAATACAGGGATGTGCAGGTAAGGAAACATTGCAGATCCCGGAATGTTCGTTAAGGTACAGACACATCAGACCCAGACAGCTG